GCCCTTGGGTGGGAGGCTCCTGCCGGCTGGTCTGTGGCTGGTTGATCAGGTGGCTTGCGCTGCAGTTTAGTTGACACCCAGTTTGGTCCTGGGCGGACTGAGCGTAGCCCCCCCACTCCACCACCATCCTGGGCCCCTCCCACGTTCACTGTAAACACCTGTGTCTGTATGCACAGCTCCTTCGTGGGGAGATGGGGTTGAAAAGGCGGGAAGACCGGGATGTCACTGTATGAAGCCAACCAGGCGCAAAGGAGGGGAATCAGGGGGTCCCTCTCTCTCGGGGTCACCCCAGTGCCGTGAGGAGGTCATAAGGTGCCCTTCGTGCGCGGACTCCAGGCTGTGCAGCCGCCAGGCTTTGCATTTATGGTATTCCCACATTATATGCATTTTTACATCACGTTTTTAGAAACAAGACGGGGCTGCTGATGGCTGTCGCAAAGAGCCACGGCCGATGGAGTCAGCAGCTACAGAAAGACGGAGTGTCGACAGCGAGGGACACGCTCGCTGGCAGGGCGAGGGGCGCACGGGCTGCGCGTCGGGTGATGGCTAACTCGCCCAGTTTGATTTAGGATCGAGGTGGCTTTTTTTAACTTTCCCAGCACAGAGCCTTCCGAGAATTCAGTGCTTGACACAAAACTGTAAGTCACACTGAAATCCGCTGTGAAAGGAGCAGGAGCACCATCTTCGTGTGCCCGTTTCTTTGCTTATACAGTCCTTTCTTGCTCTTCATTTTGTCTCTCTTCCTCATAAATCCACTTCCCTGGAAGCCACAGCGAACAGAAGCCCAGCGGAGGGGGGTGGAAAGGGCTCTTGTCAGATAAGCTGCAAAATACCATGTGCGAGCGCGCACGTACAGTGCGATTGAAACTTCGTGGCCCATGCACAGAAGTCGGTATTTTGTGGAAGAGCCACACTCAAGGGGCCAAAGAGCCGCATGTGGCTCGCGAGCCGCAGTTTGCCGACCACTGATATAGGAGATGATCGTGTGTACAGATTAGCTCCTGGCCACCTGCAATCCCTGTGGACATGTGGGGAGGGTCAGCTTAGGGGGCTCCTAAGGCTCACACCTTCTCCCGGGCTTTTTCCTTTGGCGTGGCTCACTTATGAATAAACTGAAGCCTTTTTTTAATTTTTTAAAGATTTTCTTAGGAAGGGAGAGGGAGATAGAAACATCAATAATGAGAGAGAATCACTGATCGACTGCCTCCTGCATACTGCCTACTGGGGATCAAGCCCACAGCCCAGGCATGTGCCCTGACCGGGAAATTGAACCTGGTTCATAGGTCGACGCTCAACCACTGAGCGATGCCGGCTGATTCCACAGTCAGCACTGCCGTTGTGAATGTGGGTGCACCCCTACGTGCTCTGCTCCCAGTCGGCACTGCCATTGTGAATGTGGGTGCACCCCTACGTGCTCTGCTCCCAGTCGGCACTGCCATTGTGAATGTGGGTGCACCCCTACGTGCTCTGTTCCAAGTCAGCACTGCGTTGTGAATGTGGGTGCACCCCTACGTGCTCTGCTCCCAGTTGGCACTGTGTTGTGAATGCCCTGACTCCCATTCTCCTCACTTCTAATGTAGGGATGACTCTGTCCTTCTGGTCTACCTCCATGTGTCTTGTGTAGATCAAGGGAATTAATGTATGTAACGAGATTTATAAATTGTATAGACTATTATAAACAAAAGTCTTTACTAGAATTATTATCATTCTGACTATTTGCTTATATATCTCATCAACTACGCTATGGGCTCTTTGAGAGCAAGAACTATATCTTGCTTATATTTCCTAGAGTCCCTAGTTTCCTCATTATGAGCATCCATTTGTTGAACTCCATCAACACAGGCATAATGAGCTAACAAAATATTCCTAAAATGCTCTGAAAATGGAGATCTACGTGTTAAATGAAAGAAATAAAAGTTACGCTGAATTTGTAAGCGTGGAGAAAGAATCTTATCTTTTGAGAAATAACTGGATGCTGCAGATGGTTGATTATTTACGGTCCAGAAATCCACAGAGAGCAAATCTCGTAACAAGTCTAACCTTGACATTTCTCTCTCACACTAAAATATTCCGTCAGGGACATTTTCTAAGGAAATATAGCATGTCTAACAGAGCCTAAGCAAAAAGCAAAGTTAAGTCCAAATGAATGAACACTTTGATACTCTCCATAAATCACTCTGAAGATGTTAGGGCTACAAGAAGGCAGGCCAGTATTGAATTTCCCTTGCATCCAGTTTTAGTCTAGTAAATTATTTGTATGGGAGATTTTTTTTTCTGTATCTTGAGCAATTGATGTAAAAATTTTAATATTTAGGAAATAACTGAATTCTAATTGTGTCTGGACAATACTTTGGAAGATAGATAGATAGATAGATAGATAGATAAAAAGTTGGATGAAAATACAGTGGTTGGATAACAGATTTAGTCAGCCACTTAAAGGTGGCAGGTAATGAGTTATTTCACTTCTTCATGTTGTATTAGCTTCTTTTATATGTAAATGTAATATTATAAGCACTTTATTAGGAAACCAGCCCAGCTGTTGGTTGGGGCTCAGTGGTTGAGCTTGGACCCATGAACCAGGAGGGCACATGCCTGGGTTGTGGGCTCGATCCCCAGTAGGGGGCGTGCAGGAGGCAGCCAATCAATGATGTTTCTCATCGATGTTTCTATCTCTTTATCCCTCTCCCTTCCTCTCTCTAAAACAAAACAAAAAACAATTAAGAAAACACTTTATAGAAAATTAAAGCTTTTTGTTTTGCCAAACACATTGTGTTTTAAATAATGGTGACTTTAAAATCTATTATAATTTTTGTTTCTGTTTCACTTTTGTTCCTTAAACTAAATAGAAAAACAAATATTCAATATCCAATCCAGGGGTAAATACAACTTAGCAATGTGATGCTGAGAAATTTGAGACGCCATTTAACTAATGACCATTTAGAAGAGATTAGTACAGTATAGGAATATTTTCTTTTAAAATTGCCAGTACCATACTGTTTTGATTATTGTCATTTTGTGCTGCAGTTTGAAATCAGGGAGGATGATACCTCACACTTTGTTCTTCAATATAATTTTTTATTATATTTTTTGGGTTTTCTTTGTCTATAATGTTGTGATTTTTATCTATTGGATTTGTACATAGGCAGTTCATTTTCTTCTTTCTCCTAGTTTACTGAGGTTTCAGAAAATTTTCTGTATATTTAACAATAATTTGTTAATAATACCATTTCTTTCTAATTTTCTTTTTCAATATGTATGCCTACTTCTTTTGTTCCACCTGCTTGACATTCAGGACTAATAGCATGAATGGGAGTTCATTTATGTGTTCCTTGAATCACATTTTATGACATCACAGTGAACCCAGGGTGGGGGGTAGATTAGAAATATTAGTATGCACTCAAGGAACAAGGATTCTCTGTCACTAAGCTTTAAAGATGCTTCATTTCCTGAGCCCCGTGCTTTCCTTTTCACTGAGATTTTCAGTCTTTCCCT